GTTTGATATTTAAAATTTAGGGACATATATGTAAATGGGGAGAACGTTCTGTCCATCATTAGGAGTTTGTGGCGGGCGAGTTGGGATTTAAATAAAGGAGATGGGGAGAAAAAGGGCAGTGGAAGGTTGGATGTCTGTCTACGGATCTGGGCGCAGCTCAGCCAATTGCAATGTGCCTGCTCCTAATTTTTATTTGCAGCGCTCATCGTGCCAATTTTATTTGTAAAAAATATGTACAAAGTTCTTAGTATGTATCCATTACAATTTTATAAAATGGCGTTTACATACATGCCCCTCAATTTCTATGTAATTATATATGCACAGCTAAGTTTTATTTTTCATATATGAATCTTTTAATTTACATAAAAATAATATTAATTTAGCGTTAGTTTGGGGCAGTTTATTTGGTGCGGTAGCGTTTTGAAAAAGCGCCAGACCCGTTTGGGTAAACAACATTTTATGTGTTTTCACACCGCGTCTATCTAAGTGTGGTGGCAGCTTTCTGATTGCGGTTTTGCTTTTCCAAATAAATAAAAATTTGAAATAATCATCGCACCTAGCTTATCAGCAGATTATTCAATAAAATCATTTGTTTCCATGTAGGAGTAAGATGATATATATGCAAAAATTAAAATTTATATGTTTGATATATAAATACATAGGAATTGAGTGGTATGTTTGTAAATCTTCCTAAAAAAATTGTTTTTTTAATTTGTGTAGATATCTATTTAATGTTCATCATCATAATTGATGATATTAAAAGAGAGGATACTGTCGACTTTTCTATGACATTTATTTCATTGATTTTATATAAATATTTTAGTTTTTAACTATTTTATCAAACATTTCATAATAAATATTATTATTATTATTTTTTAATTTGTACAAAAGTTAAAAAATCTTTGATTTCGTATCATTTAAAAGTAATATAAATACCACATCTAAATTTCTTAAACATACTAAAAAGAAATATTTTTTATCTCAAAATTGATTTGAAATTCTATTTTTTTTTTGGGAAAAATTATTGATAATTTCATTATGAATTTAATCATATTCAGTTTTATAAAAATAAGGCATCCAAGTTCGCGGGCAATAGATCAAAATTATTGATTTCTAAATCTAGAAAAAAATAAAATCTATTTTAAAATAAATATTTTTTTGGCCTAATGCCTCCCAAACTATCAGGAGACAGCTGAGCCGCAGGGAGCAGTTGATTGAGGCCCACTTTCTCCAACCTGAGTCCCTCATTCAAATGTTTAATAATCTGTGATTAATTTGCTCATTCAATAAAATAACATTATAATAGATTGAAGTGTCAAAATAGTCCCACATTATTTATATGGATCAGTCGTAGGGTCCATTTGGTGCAGCACCGCAGTTTTGTGTGTTTTGATAAACTACGTTTTGACAGTATTTTTAAAAAAGTACTGCTGGAATCTAAGTTATCACTCATGGCTAGTTGCGGTGACAAGTTTCTAGCTGCGATCTGACTTTAAAAAAAAATTTTGAGCATCTGATTATTATTCAGCAATTTAACAACTGTTTTTTAACAAATTGCAGTTGCTCAAACAGACCCCAAGTCTTAGATTTTATAGAATTGTCAAAATAATCTTCAAACTCATTAAATTGAGTCGAATTGATTCTCGTGAAGAACTATTAAAGTTAACGTCATATTTATTTTAAAATAATTATCATATTCTTAAGAAATATTCAAATAAAAAAATTAAAGCTAATTATTTTTCCGTTATGTTAATAATCAATAATTATTTAATTATTTTTCTATTGGTCATCGGTTCCTATTTGGGTTCACCTAACTCCAATTTATGCGGAAGTGGTTCACCGAATACATAGCCCACAAATCCTCAACAATCATGCCCAATAGTCTTTAATTCGGCCATATTTTACTAACCACGGGATCGAAGAAAAATCTTTTTTAAATTTTTAATAATTAATAATTTAATCAAACTATTAAAAATAATCATGTGCACTCAAAAATTTCAACAACAGACATTGTATAATATATTGGATGTTTGACAACAATTGCTTGTTGGCTTATAATACAATCACATAAAAGTGAATCCCACATGTTTTTTTTAGTAGTTTAGGGGTAGAAATTGAACGAATTATTTTAGTTTGTGATATTTTAAGGAGAAAATATTACGCATGGATGATCCGAACGTATAAAAGGGTGTATTGTTGAAGTATTTCGTGTGTAATTGAAATATAGACCCATAATTTACAAGTACGAATGATGCAAAGGGAATATGAGTACAATAATAAATCTAATTTTATGGACAATCAAAATTAAATATTAATTAAGCTCGGTCAAAATTTAAGATTATGTCGACTGATTATACTAGCATTTCAAATATTTTCTAGTGTAAGTTCAGCTGGATTAGATATAATGAGCAAACTGATCACCAATTCTCCACAACATTTAATAATTCATAGCTTGATTAAAGCATCCTAAGAACTCGTACATTTGTCAGCTCATCAAATCGCATATGACCACCACCTAAGTCGACAAGTTGCCAACGCGGTAGCTTGGGGTTCTATAAAGAGACATGGCACGCCATATAATCACACATTTAATGCATTTTTGTAGTTAGTTATATTTCAGCTACACCTTCTCTACACTCTCTTCTTGAGCGACAAAATATAAAGAGGTTCTCTCTCACCAAAGTTCTTTCTTTCCATCTTTCTTTCCTTCTATGACAATTGAAGATCCAACAAATTAAAATCAAGGCTCCATATTATGGAGGTTCAAGTGGATTTATTGCACAACATTGTGATTTAGAAAACAAATTCTATAATTACAATTTTATTATAATGTGATGAATGTGTGTGGTAAATAACAGCAAAGTTATAACAATGAGAAAATTCATCATAAATTATGTTTGTCAAGAGAGGACACTCACAAATGTTATTGGTTGTGGTGCATTAGGCTTATTGAGAGAATTTGCAATCTTTATATACATTAGTAGGAGATGGAGGCATATTTATAAGCTATAAAAGTGATAACTAAGCTAAATTAAATATTTTGTTAGCTTACATAAATAATTCGTAAGTTGAGCTAAAGAATGGCCAAGAAGCTCATACTCTCAAAGTGGCATTGCCAGAAATAGGTCAAATTGGTGATGATCAAATCAACCATTTGAATAATTTTATACTTTTTTCATGGAACTAAAAGAGCTCACTATCATCTAAATATAACCATGGTGACTTAATAAGAAAAAAAATAGAAATAAATAAGAAAAGTAGGGAAGAGGTGATGTGTAGCTTATTTAACAAGTTCTATTAGGATTTTGACAATAGAGTTAATACTTGTAAAGGTGCTTCTAGGTCTCAGATCATAGGCTCTAGAAAAGAAATATAGCTTAGGTAGCCAGATTAGTGGTTGTGGTGTTGGTGAGAAGCTATTGAAACAAAGAAGGGTACTAAAACTTAATCCAACATATCTCTTTGTTGATGTTTGCATTAAAATTATTGTATTACTACATTAAAAAAAAATCAAAACACTAATTTTGTCATATTTTTAAATAACAATAAAAACATTATCTCAAAATTTTCTTGTCTCTCTTATATCAAACTTTGCATATTCATAGCCACTTCAATCATTATATATATTTCTAGTTTATTAAACATTTTTTTTTCAAAATCATATTTGTATTCTCATATAATATCAGTCTTATTCATCTTTGATAAAATTATTTTTTATTGTTCTCATTTGTATCTCCAAAATTTGATATTAATGTGCCTTAGAAAAATAGACAATGGCCTTCTATCTTTATGTTTATCAAACAATGAGGTTCAAATTATCATTACCACCATGGTGCATTAATCACATTTCCTAATAACATCAACCAACATAAGAAATATCCAAGTGTTTATGTGTTATAAATATAAATCATGTTGTTTGAAATAAAAAGGGATATAACTAACACATCGGGGAGATAATAAAATAGGTAGAGATTACAAAAATATCAAATATATAATGACTTTTTAAAATAAGATATCTCTCTCTCTCTCTCACACAAACACACATTTACATCACACAAACACACATTTACAGTTGAATGCAAATTACAAAGTTGAATCACTTGGAGACTTAATGTGTTATGAGCCACTCTCTGGTTTCACATTTTCTTTTTTCTTGCTTTCGGCAAGCCTCCGATCAAGAAGTAGAAAGACGAATGTTCACCTGTTCAAGCAACAACTCCATCATTCCCTTGGGATTAATCAGGCAGATCCAAAACCAGGAACCACCACACCACCCATTTTCAATTTTAGCAATTTCTTCTCTCTAATACTTTTGTGAAGCTCAAAATGAAAGCATAGCCCACCATTTACTTAAATGCTCTCTCTCCCTAAATATGCTGAGAAATTACTCACATCTTACATGCCATTTCTTTTTCTTATTTTCTCACACGACTCCTTTCTGAACATGAACTATGAATTTTATGACCTTCAAAACCTCCATGAATTCCCTCTTACTTTATTTTTTGGGCCATCTCTGATTATTTTATCATGCGGTTTAATCGATCAATTGATCTGATGCTTAACAAATCATCTGTTTTTAATAATAATTAATTATTTTTATTTTAATTTTAATATTTTGACAGAAAATAAAAGATTCATCATCGGTCCCCATCATTAACACTAACGTGACGACATCAACTGACCGTGCTTAGTTCAAATCCTAATAAGCCAATTCGATTATTATAAGTAATTCTAAATGCTTAAAATGCATCCAAATACAAGATACGTAGAAAGAGAAATCACATAGCTCATTTTTTGTGTGAATTTAACATCCTAATTTATATATCAAATTCTTGAACTTAATAATTAATTAATGTGTTTATTAAAAGTGTCAGCACAAATCTCTCCAAGAAGTCAGGGGGCCAAGGATGATGATCGGACAACTGAGGTGTTTAATTTAATGAGAGTGGTCTGCGTTAGCTGGCCGACGATCAACCGCTCGATCGAGTTGGCCAGCAAACAATGCCGACTAGTCCAGTCAACAGGCCATGCCGTCGATCCCAGCTACCTCCACTTCCTGTACTGTAAGGAGGTCCGATCACCACCGACTTGCAAACCAGCATTACCTCGACAAGAGTGATCGTCATGCGACCTATCGCCCCTGTCGACCGAACTCATGTATGCCGACCAGTTGATAACCGTCGTATTTAATTCAAATTATAATGCAAATTTAGTATTAAATCAACACATTAACTATATTAATGGTGATTTCTATAATCTCTCTCTTCTTTTACTAATTGAGGATAATTTCCATTTTCAATATCTCCTTTTAATTGTACAAAAAGGCTTCCTATAAATATGAGTCTCTACATTGAATAAATAAATTTTCTTTTCTCGGTGATCAGCCAACTGAAGGGACAAAGGATTCCAAACCGGCATATAACGCCGCATCTACGCCGGCAGTCCAATATCTGCGGATTGAGTGGTAACATTTATTCGGCTGACCATGGATAGCGCCTTCTCCCAAACTCTTCCTCGTGAGTGCAAATCCTAAAATAAAGGGATAATTACATACAAAGCACTCGAAAAATTCATATTTACTGATCAAATACCTATGTAATTTTTTGAACGACCGAACCGATTTGTTTATGCATGCTATAATCAAACCATTGAGAATTTGATAAAAAATGGAAATCATGAGTTGGGGTTTTATCAATAATTTTAATGTCTGAATGAGAATTTGAAAAATTGATGAAAGATGTTGCTTGATTGTAAATAGCTGAGGTTGCCCTTAAATAACATAATATTCAAGTTATAAGTAAGTATTTTTTTAATCAAATAACTTGTGCTCGACTCACCAAAAAATAAAGACCGCGGGTTATTTATGGGTTATTTCGTGATTATTGAAAATAATCTGAAAACAACTCAGGAATAACATCCGCCGCATGTAGAGCTACGTCGTGAGTCCGCACAGAAAAATTAGGTCTTCCCTAGGCTGCTCGGATAGGGTTTACTCATCCACAATTTCGCTCAAGAGCCTCCTTCTCTTCATCCTTTTCCTCCTTCTCATTCCTTACCCAGTTAGGGAACGATTCCTCCTTTAATATCATTTCTTCCTTCTCCCCTCTTCACAGTCTCCCAATCTAGCTGTCTCAATTTTTTTTGGTTTGAATGGGAATAAACGATACATAACTCAAACTGAACGACATTAACATTAAGAACACATTGTCTATTCAATTACTATTACTATTACTATTATTATTTAAAATTTTAATTATTTAAATCTCTTTTTCTTATAAAATTTTAACTTTGAATTTCATGAACTTCACACATGCTAAACATGAACTATCCACAAATCCTTAAGAAATTTTAATTCTCGTTAAGTGATTATAAAAATAGATATGATAAATCTAAACATTAAAATATAATAAAACGTAAATTATGAAATCAATATACATAAGGATACTCAACACCACATAACTAACCTGACACCCTAACGACAAATCACTCAATCATAAACTACCAACATCTATGTTAGCAACAACAAGTTTTTCTGGTTTCTGATGAGCAGGGAAAAGATTGTTGGTTGAATATTTTGCCTTCGTTGCTCCTTATGAGTACGGTACAAATTTTTGTCATTCTTTGTAGACCACTTCTAAAAATAGATCCCTCTTAGCTGAATCTATTCTTGAGTTAGCGTTTAATGTGGATGTCTGAGTAGAATTAGAGCAATTCGTCATATGATTTCTAGGTTATCTGCATAAGTAACATCCCTTGAAACCAAATAAAACATTCAGCGCAGTGCAGCTTCCGACATTGGGCATGACATTTTGACTTGTAACCATGACGAATATCTCCATTAGTGTATAACTTTATTTTTATTCCTTTAAACTCTTCGAAATGAACGGACTATGCCACTTCTTCCAAACTCTTGCTCTCGTGCAAGTCATTGCATTTCAGAGTCTACTGGAAAAATCAATTTTCACTTGCATAGCCCTCTCCACTAGCATTGAATTGTTTTTAATCCCAATTGACACTAATGATTGTATGATTGAATCCTTCAATATAGAAAAGAGCTTGTGGTATTTTTCCTCTAATGTAGGAATGAATTCAAACATTAATCTCGATAACGTAGTAAAGTTTGTTTTGTACTGCATAATTGATCGATCTCTTTGCACCAGTTTGATAAATTTTCCATGTATTTGCCATCGAGATTAAAGTGTCATAAACCACTCTCTAAATGTGTTTACAAACTCATCCCATTATATCAACTGATTGGATCTACCTCCAAACTTCTCTTCTTAAAAATATTCTGACCACCATCTATCAACTTCTCTTTCTATTGAATCCTAATATGTCTATGAATCACACTCAAGAAATAGGGCGCAAGAAATATATATATGACGAAGGCCCAAATACCGATTTCAATGAGCTAGGCCCCATAACGAGGGTCTGCCTCATGTGCCTAAATATTTGAGAACCCAGTGCTACTGGGGATCGAAGCCATGACCTAAGGGGACTTATAGTGAACCTCGCCAACCAACAGGTCACGGCTTGCGGCACACACGCGCGCGCGCGCACACACACACATGTAAGATCAATTTTGGGAGCAGAGAGGTGCACAATAATGAATAATAATTATTCTTTACTGATTAGCCTTTTCGCATTAAATGATCCCCTTTTTATGAAGGAGGGGTATAATATATGAGGTTACAAGTTTGCATGTGCTTTAATGAGGTGTTAGAGGATATTTCAGGTATTATATATATGCGGGCTTACGACTCAGCTACCCTCTAAATCGATCGACTGAATTTAATGGGTCTTGGTTTGATAAAACCCGCTCGTTCGGCTATGTTGAATTAGGGTTCTTGGTCGATCTGCGATGGTCTTTAAGTTGGCAAGACTATCTCGATTGACTTAGATCTACCGATTAGTTGTTTTAGCCCAGTGGTCGACCGTTGATCCCTATATGAGAAGTTCCTTTTAGCTGGATGATACCATGTTATCAAGCGTAGTGTGAATCACTCTGATATGATTTTATAACCTATTCTTTTAAGATGAGGTATTTCGGGATATTTGTAAAACATGTTATTGTGAATTGTTGGTCTCTAACAAGGAACCTCCGGGGTGTCCACGTGAATGTTGATGATACGTAACTCTTTCTCTGAGTCAGGTTGTGGCAAGATCCCGATCGATATTTTTGCTTGGCTTGATTAGTGTCATTCATTGTTTCGAGTGGTTTACGCCCGGTCGACCTCCAACCCATCTTTAGGGGATTGCATCTAGTAAAAGAAATGAGCCCTTTGGTCTCTCTCTAGTGACCCCTCTTTAGTTGTAATTTTTTCTCATCTGGATGGTTGGGACTTCTGAAGATTCGTGCCGGCATATTCCCAATATACACATTTAATGAAAAAATTGAAAGGTGTGTCATTCCTCTCTAATGGACAAGACAACCCATCTATAATCTTTTTCACTCTCATTAAGTTGTCAACGTCCACACAGAACTTCCTCCTACGAAAACTAACATGACATTACGAGTTCTTAATCACCTGAGATGTCGTGTTATCTCCCAACAAAAATATCAGTTTGATAATAATATTTTGAGGCATTTACCATTCATGACCTCATTTTTCTGATCTATAAGTCTAAAATAAGGGCAAAAAATTTAATTAGACTCAATTAAAATTTTAATTTATATTCTTCATAACATAATTCAATTATTGCAACGATTCTTTCATAAAGATTCATATTGGATACTACTTTTGTTACCATCCGGGTCAATGACTTAAAACAAAGGATTTAGGATAAAATTAAGGACGGATTCAAATTAATTATAAAAAAAATAAATGATTTTTGTAGGGAGCGCCTCGGATGCCAAAATTACATATTTATCTTGGGTTTTCCCGCCGTATGAAGCCATTTCTTCTGGACACCTCCGCCGCTCTTAAAAGTCGAACCGCCATGCTTAGCCGCATCAAACGGTCACGATTGTACGCCATGAGCTTTCGATCGAGCCACCAATGGAGCGCGCACATCAGTTCCTTGTAGGGCCCACATATTTTCCATTAGTAATAAATATCCCAACTCCCAAGTCTCAACCTAAACTTAATAAGAATATAAACTTTAACGGGGCCAAAAACAAAAAATTAAAAAAATTCATTAGGAATAGTACGAAAAAAAAACATTTAAAATTAAAAATAGTACAATAAGGAGATACAAAACAAAGTATAAATTGTTTTAGTCCATTATTTGATGCTTTGCATATGTGACACATTTAGATTGATATTATGTGATTAAAGACGATTAAAAATTCATTTTTAATAAGGTACGTTGTCTTCTTATAGTGACAGATTGATTGATTTTTATATTGGTTTCTATGAAATTTCACAGCTACATAAAACTATAATAATTACTTCTGTTATTATTTTTTACTTATTTTATGTCTAAGGATATATATTTCTTTTAAGCATTCAATGAATATGAGCTCGGGGATTCTGATACCTTTAGAGGATTGCATTGCTACCGTGAAATTTTAAGTTTCCTGCTAACTTCACGTCAGTTACATAGTCAAGGGAGACAGTTTTACAAGCACTTCCGGAGAATCATGAAAACTGTAACTATTTTCAGTAGGCTGAAAGTTTCCATCACCAAGAGTGATCGACATGAAAAATATCTTTGGATAACGATTTAGCTCGTGACATAGGTCGTCTGAATTTTAAAATAATATTATCATATTATTAATTATTATTTTAATAGTATTTTTCTTAATTTTGGTAGTCTTGCTACACACTATTAACTGACGTGTTTACCTTTATTTTGTAGTGTTATGGACTGAATATTTATTTTTAAGCATAGAATTTATTGATATAAATAGTTTTGTTGCAAAGAACAATACTATATAGGAGTAGAATATTCATTTGTCCAGAAACAGCTGCAACACAACTATTTTTAAACTGCAAAAAAATAAACATACTATAAGCTTATCCACAACAACTTCTACACAGCAACTTCATGTGACAGTTGTTGCGCAACAGCTTATTGTGGGTAGTTAAACAGTTGAACAAGTAAAGTTTGGGTTAGATTTTTTAAAGTTAACTACGAATGAGATTCAAACAATTTACGAAACTAATTTAGCCCTCTTATTTTTATATTTTAATTAAAATTGATGAAAGGGTTATGGTAAATAATATAATAAATATTAAATAATATTTAGTCAATTCTAGAATATATTCTTTAATTAAATATGTTATATTCTTATTTAACATATTTCATTCCTAGATACTTTTAATATGATTTTTAAATTAATATTTTGGAAGGCGATATTTTAATTAGTCTTCATAATCATTTTATAAGAAAATAATAAAAAAAAAAAGATATGATAGTATTCTAATATAATTTATACTAGAATGAATTTAAAAATAATAAATATATTTAAAATTAATATAACATAAATATTAATATTTATCATTAATTTTAATTTTTTCTGCGACTTATATCAAGATATATTACTGCGGTTAAAATTTTGGGGAATTTGCATGCAAGGCACACAATTTTAACGTATTTGCATATCTCACCTCTATTATCATTTTTTAAATGTCAGATATAAGTTTTCATACAAGGATATAAAATAAATACTTTATACGTAAATATGAAAGTTTAGATGTGAGATATTTAAATTTATTTATTAAATATCACACATTACAATTATTAATATTTCATTTTTTTCATTTATTATTTGATAAATATATTTATCTACGAGCGCACCTTAGTAGTGACCATATTGTGAAATATTAATATCTTAGCATAATGTGAGGATTGAGTGCTCTCATTCATAAGAGAATAGTTGTAAAAACATGCATCAAAATATTTATATGAAAGTGAGAGAAGATTATAGGGCTTTAACCAATTGAAATGTTATGCTAAGTTATATGCTATTAATAATGCTCATAAAAATAGAAGAAGGTATTAATATATAGTAGGCATGAACTATGTTGGTGAATTCCATGATGAAAGAAAAATTTGGAGGCATTGGAATTATTTTAAGAGATTATTTATGATATGTTTGATTGTTATTTGTTGATGAGAAGAGTTATAAGATGGAAGTTCAACATAATCTTGATACATATGAGATGCGTCAATCTTGTCGGGATCGTGACGATCAATATATGTGATACGATAGGTGGGTGTCGATGTTAGTGTTAATGTCATGTATCAACCTTACAGGCAATATCATAAACTAATGATGTATAATGCCTTAAAGCGATGTTTTATAATGATGTTATATTTTGGCTTTATGGGTGATAACATATAACAATGATGTGCATTGACCATATAAGTAGTGTCGTTTGTTAATGGAACAAATCACCTTAAATGTGATGCAGGTGACAATAATGTTTACCGGCCTTAAAAGTGATGTCGGAGATTGACATTGTATTAACCTTATAAACATTGATGAGTGATAATGGTTTGAAGACCTTAATTTATTGATGATAATTGAGTGATTGTGGTAGTGTTCATAAACAAGCATCGAAGTTTGAACGATCGTAAATAGAAAACGAATGTTGGGCGAATTTAATTGTTGATGTATGTTGGAAGGTCTGCAGTATTAGAGTAATGAATTATCGTGTTAATGTAATATGAGGATCCAAGACACACTAAGTTAAAAGATAATAACCAACAGTGACACCATAAGTTTTTATGTGAAAAATTTTGAAAGGGAAAAATGGCGGGATCTAGCCTAGTTCAACCAACTCACTGTAAATGGTGGACACACATGTCAATTCTTCTCATGAATTAGGAAATATATAGTTACAAAGTTTTAACAATGTAAATGTACAACAATAGTTAATCAATTATCGTTGTTGTGTGGCTGCAATAAATGTTGTTCTCTGTGATAACATGAAGCAAGAGTCGTATTTAATTGTTATAGAAGCATAAATTTACCATGAATGCTGTAGACAGTGGATGTAATGCCAGGTTGTCGTATAGACCATAGCTGAATGTCATGGTATCAGTTGCCCACGTGGACAATAAATCATTGCTTCAAAAGCTTTGATTGGCCACAGAGGTAGCAGAACGAAGTTGTATGAGATTTAAGCGACAAAGGGCGTACTTGGTCATATAGGTTGCAGTAGTGTGTTTTGATGACGTTAGTAGATTATAGAGGTCAGAGTCAAGAGATACACAAGATGTGGACCATGTTTGTCGTAGTGATAGACTACAATGTTGTTCGTAGGCCGCGAACGCTGGAGTAAAGAGAGAGCTGCACGAATTGTAGGCTATGTAGGCCATGGTTGGTCGCATTGGTCATAGTGGCGAGCCGTGATGACATCTGCAAGTTGCAGTGGTTACAGTCAAGAGTTGCACGGCTTATGAAGCCCGTAGTTTGTAATTGGTCACCGTTGGTCGCAGCAGTAAATGAATTTTTTTATAATATACAAATGATTATCAATACATATCTTCAATATTTTGGACCAATGCTCATAATTAATCTTTTGCACTATTAGCCCTTAAATATGTGAAAATTTATGGACAAAAGACTAATTATTATAAATTAATTACTAAAAGTAAATTCAATTTAAAGCCAAAGGAAGGAGTGTGGCCGGTGGGTTGGCTTGACGGATAAGTGACTGCTGCAACCACTACGGCCAATTGACAACGAAAGCTTAGGCATACGTTTTCTCTCTAATGTCTGTTTGTAATTATCATAAATTTTATAATTTTTAAAATTGTTTTTTCACAATGCATTTAGTTATTATCATAAATTTATAATTTTTTAAAATTAAGAATTAATAAATCGTCCTCTTCTTCCCTTAAAAGGCCGATTTGAAAACCTTTCCCCTACCTCGCGAAGCACAGCCGTTTGACATTCTCCGTTCCCATATTTCTCGCTTCTTCTAGTCCCGAGCTGGCGGAGGAGAAGGGGGAGAAAAAGTTCTCTCAAACATCATTTCTTCTTCCCGAGCCAGCAAGCCCTTGCTCATAATGGCGGAGAAGTTCGAGGAGGGAGACTCATGGCTGCCCGCGGAGTTTCTCGGTGAGGGTTTCTTTCTAGAGGAGAGGCGCGCAGCTGCTTTAATGCCGGGGAGTGAGAAGAGAAACGGTCTGGTGCGAGAGAACGCAAGCCTTTCTTACCCCAATATGGTGATGGAGACGGAGAGTGATGAGGAGGATTACGTGGCCGGACTCACGCGGAAGATGGCTCGCTCCTTTCTTGTTGAAGATAGCACGTCTTCGTTTTGGGATACTAGGGTATCAATCTGCCCTTCTTTTTTCCTGTGTTTTATTTGGGTTTTGAGTTGAGATTTATGCTGCTGTATCTTTCCGATTTCTAGGTTTTGGCCACCTCGCCGCAGTCGACGCTGTGCGATGCCGGAATCTGGTCGGCGTCGTCCACTGGAAGCCAAAAGGTTTGTTCGAAGGCTTCTCCACCGCTTTCTGCTTTTCTGGAGCAAAGGAAGGAAGATGCGATGGATCTTTTCTATGCGGCAGCAGGGGAGGTTTTGAGGAATAAGCAGAACCAACGGAGGGCTTCTGAACGATACCAGCGCAAGAACTTGTTGGTTGATATAAATCCTTCAGCAATCGCTGGATCTCACAGCAACCAAGTCGAACGCCAGCGGATCCAAGCGGCGCAAGTGGGTTAACTATTTCAAGATTTTCCTTCCGATTTTGTGTTCAATTAGTTGATTTTCTCTCTCTTTTTTTTTTCACATACAGTTCTACAGACTGAAGCAGCAGCAGCTAGTCAAGCAACAACTTTCTTCTACTTGGACAAGGCAGAACAGGGCAGCAGCGGCGACGACGACGAGTGTCCGGTCTCATGGCTTGGCTTCTTCTCCATGGTCACCTCTACCGCAACAGCAACAGCAACCCAGCTCTGGGATGAGAGCCTTGTTCCTCAACAGCACAGGAGCCCGGCGTGAGTCCGCGGGCACCGGAGTCTTTCTTCCTCGCAGGGCAGGCAGTCCCACGGCGAAAAAGCCCGGTAAAATAGAGCCTGGCCGTCTAATCGGTTAAAATGATTTAACTTCCTTTCTTGTTGTTAACGAAGTACCCTCTTATTACTCTTCCAGCTTGTTCTACTGTTCTCCTTCCTGCAAGAGTGGTACAAGCGCTAAACCTAACCCTAGACGACGCCGGTATACAACCTCGTTTCCCTGCACACATATCTCGCGACCATGGTACTTAGCTTACCTTCTCTTCTTTCTCTTCACTGTTCGTCCCCATCTTCTTTTCTTAGCTATTCTTCTCCTCATCCTTCAGAAACGGCGACCGTTCGCATCAATCCCGGCAATACTGAACAGAAACGGAACATCTACCAGCTTCCGCAGACCTCCATTTCCCGCCATGACATACAACTCCCAAAAGAGTGGACCTACTAACTCCCCCCAACACCATCGTTTGACAGCTTCAAAATTAGGGTTTAGAAAATTAAACTATATGATTTTAATCAGGATTAGTTACAGTTTAGTAGCAGTTTCCGCCATGGATTTTTTTGGATTGGTTTTGTGCAAAAGCTAATGCTCGAGGAAAAGTGGAACAACGCTGCAAATTAGAACTAATAGAATAAAGGGCGGAGCTTTTCCTGGTCTGAGATGAAGTGTCGAGAGAGGGTATTTCTGTAATAATGTATTTTGCACTCATTGCAGCACCTGTTTACTTTTTCACTTTTTGCAGGCTTTTACCAGAGAGGGGCAGCTCTCAAAAGAAAAAGATCGCCATCAAACCCACCTTAATTAGCTTGTAAGTAATAAAAAATAAAAGGAATATATTTCATTTTATTGCTTGCGTTGTTATAGTAATGAATGAATTTCTTTTGAACAATAATATCCAGCAAAGTATGACTTTATTTGAACGTCTTCTGTTTGGGATTTTTGGTGTACGAGCTGTCGCATTTTAATTTATGGGGGAATTTATATCAATATATCAAGTTAAAGAGGTTATTTTTATGTGATGTTAAGGTTTGAATAGTTATAAATATAAAAAGTAAATTGTCATGTTAGATGGGTAAATACATAGTTGGGTGGGTTTTGTAAATGGCTCTATATTATATCTTTGATTCATGATTTGATTTATAAAAAATATTTAGATTTATCTTGTTTAGATCTATGCAAATATGTATTATTTTGCATAATTTCAACATAATTTCTCTGCAATATCTACCCATTGGTTTAAGTAATTAGCCGATAGATCAAATTCAGTTTAAAGGCTACTCACATGGCTGGGATGCTATGTCATCTGCAAGACGGCAACGATTAATAAGCTTTTAAATACAATTTTCTAGCATATTAACATAAGATTTATTCATTAATTGTTCAACAGTGCATATAATGAGTTAATGAAAACATTTGCGCCTAGAAATTTAATAATTTTCATTTAAACTCCAAAATTTAAATGTAATTTAAGAAATTCAAAGACGTTAAAGATGAATGTATGTAAAAATTAATTTAAATTTGAAGCTTTTAATAGGTTTCGCGTGTTTAACATCGAAAATTTTATTTTGGATCATTTAAAGCCAGCGAAGTGGCAGTATGGTACAAAGGTTATAATATCTAAAATTTAATTGTTGGAATAGTAATTATATAAGAATATATATATATATATATATATAAATACATACATACATATGAGCACCAGCCGATGTGTAAAAATTTCGTTATGATTTTATAAATATTTAAAAAAGAATTAAGAAAATAATGTGAACCATTTGTGCAACAACTATTAAGTAATATTTACCTATTAAATTAAATGGGCATTGGTGATGCGGTCCGACTACCAACGTGCGGTCAGTTTGCGGGATTCATTTATGGGTGTGGTATCACGAGCCTGCATGGTTGAGAAATTCCTGAAATAACTTCTGGGCCCCACATCACGGGCAGGAAGCCTATGAGCCTATTATGGTATTTCCTAGGGATGAAAGTCGGTGGACTGTTCTTGGATGTTCATGTTGTGTCATTAAAGCTACACCCATAATAAATGTAAGGTATATATATATAAAACATTTATTTACATACATTAAATTATTTATATATTTATTTCATCTTATTTACTGATACAACAAATAATTAATTTAAATGACACTATTCAATCATCTCTGCTCTCTAAAAATTGTTCAATCTAACCCTAACTTTTTTATTTTTGGTTGAGTTTCGAGTATGGGATATATATATAATTCCCGTCTATTACAATAAATACTTTCTCTATATATCGATAATCTGACATAATAATAATATGACATTTCTATATACTAATCGTGAAGCCTGCGCTGAGGTGTCTAGAAGGAAATGTGAGCGGCTAATCATCCTCTTGTTGTCATATGACTCGATTTGTTTAACCTAGTCGATTTAGTCAGCTTGGTCGACCATCCTCAAAAAATTCATCTCTGAAGAGATATTGAGGTGTCTGCGTCGGGTAGTTTCAGATGGGTTGAAGATATTTGCAGGGTTGACTTTTTTTATCGGGTTGACTCACATGCGAGAAAAACTTCTGTATCGGATAGGCTTTCTCTTAGTTGAAGGTTTAAAAGTCTTCTCATATGTTCCCGGATGAGTAACTTTTTGATATCAAATAGCCTTCCTCCGATCATCTTATAGCTTGATCAACTAACCTGGTCAACTCGACGTGTTGGTTGTCTTAGCCTAGTTGACTCAAGGGGTCTCATGACCACCTTATAGGAAGTATCTTTTTATCGTGTTTCTTTGATTTTTTTGTTAGATCAGCATCGACACTTTTTTGATATACACATACCACACAATTCCTTATTATTTACATATCTATCACCCAAATGATAAATTTTATATACGTGACACTTTAAAATCCCTAATACCTCGAATCTACCATTTCCTTCAACGACGTCACTGTAAACCAGTTGTCCGTCCCTATTGCTTTGTCCTAATCACACTCCGTTCAACGCACGACTCTCCACCTCTCTGATAGATTTCTTGTCATCAGATCATCATATTCTTCATCAAATCTGGTTGATTCAAGGAGTTGGATGGTAATGGTGAAGCAATTTCGAGGAAAAACGAGTATTTTTGGTTTAGATGGTTCATTTTTCTCTTTTTGTATTTTTAAAAGGAGTCGCCAACTTGTTGATTGTCGTATACTTCCCCGCTCGAATAAATCTGCCTCTTGAACCATATACATGATTCGAAGAGGAGAGAAACCGAATAAGAATGGACATATGATAAAGTGACAAACAAGAGAAAAAGTAAAACGTGGAGAATCTACGTGCGATAAACCTCACAATGATAGGTTAATAAGAGTGTCCGCCCAAATAAGATAAATAAGATCGGGCGGAGGCAATTTAAACCAATATCCGCGAAAGAAGGATCTACATAGACTACCCATAACCAGAGAGTCAGGTGTATGTACCTGTTCTGGGGTCAAGAGCACTCCCAGAGGAACGTGTTCCTACTGGTTAATTACATATTGGGGGATACCCAAGAATACTCTCGATAAAAGGAGTTTCACTTCATATTATCATAGACCTGGGGTATAGGGAACCAAAGGAAGGTTATTCCGTGTGAGAACAATCCCAATGCTTCAATGCTCACGCTAAACAATCGGGCAGAGAATGAGTCTCTCACATCCCAGAATGGGTAGCGGCTTACCAGCACATGGGGCCCATGAAATAACCTAAATCATCTTGACGGGGATATCCCAATACGTCAAAGCACGTTCGGGCCAAAGGACAGAGGACAAATAGTCGTATCCTAAATGGGCGACAGCTCATCGGCATCAGGCCGTCAAGGTGATATCAACGAGGTCAAGGAGCGACAGGGCTCAATGGGGCTCAAGAAAATAGGAGGTAAAGTGATCCTAAAAGTTAGAGGTAACTGGGTCGGGGTACCACGGACCCGTCATGAACGACTACTAGGACCCTAAGTCTACCTGGTCGTGAAGTTAGTCGACCCAACACAACCTGAGATCCCTGGTCAGCAATCTGTGAATTGCATTATCCACAAGAACCTCGGTAGCCCTAAGGTCAAAGGAAGGAAACTCTATTCTATGACTGTAAACTGGAGCTACAAGAGGTGGGACTTATACCTGCCGAAATGATAAGGATGCCTCCGGAAACAAGAGAAAGCGGAGGTTCAGCTACAAAGCTGTAAACACTCCAACAAAAGGACTTACACCCCGTCCGGGTCAGGGAGCCTTCTAACACCCTAGGCGCACTAGACAACCACCTGTATGAAGGTATGCTGGGCCGGTTAGGTTGGAAAAGTACGGGGACTCCTCCTCGGGACATGCAAACATGAATGCAGTAATCTAGAATGATCCTAAGTATTGTGGAGGCCCTATTAATATATGCAAGAAAGTAAATGTTGTAATTTTTAAATCTTGAATATTTTAATGTTAAATTTTAATTATCTTGAAGATTTTATTTAGGATTTTGTAGAAAATTAAAATTTTAGGGCCCTTAATGAGCCCATGTTGTATCGTGAAATCCCAGATAAAACACAGAAAGAAAACAAAAAAAACACATGCATGTGCACACATGCAACATGATGCAAAAAAGTAAAGCAAATCGAACCAAAATAATAAACAGGCCAGTGCCGCTAGGTCGGCAACATATCCCAGAAAAGAAAATGGCGGCCGGGCGCCGCACATACATGCCCCGGCCCACTTCTTTACATAAAAATAAAAAAA